AAATCGTTCGAACGAGTTGCTGAAACAAAACGCTTTTTTAGTATTATAAAATCAATCGCGGCTTTTTTTCACACCAGTACAAAGCGAATGACCCATTACAACAACTTTGCCGATATGAAAAAGCTGCCTCGTGTCGCGGAAACGAGGTGGACATATCACTCGCCCACGGTTAATGTAATTATTAATGCGTCCACCCACCTCCTAGCATTGTTTGAAAATATGAACGAAAATACACAAGACTGTGATGGTGAAACACTGACACAGGTCAGTTCATTTTTATTTATTATGAAAGAATTTGAATTTAATTTTCTTTTAAAATCTTTCGCAGATATTTTTGCAGAAACGGATACGGTACGATATTTTGCAAAAAAAAAAAACTAGTGACATCGCGTATTGTGTAACAAAGATAAAGGAGTTAGAGTCATTTTTAGAACGTTTCAGAGAGAAGTTCGAGATCTATTATGATGCCGTCGTTCACATTACCGGACCACCTAAAAGAAAGCGCAATGTCGATGATGTTAAAATACATTATCGGCGAATTTTTGTTGAAATGAATGAATTAAGAAATCGCTATAAAAACATTAAAGATTTAAAGTTTATTGAGCTACTTTCTTGTGAGAATTTCAAAAAATATAGTGAACGTTTCCCTGAAAATGAAACCAGAGAGTTCACTAATAATTATCAGGCAAATTTTAATTTTGATAAATTGAAAAATGAATTGCGCTGTATTTATAGATCACCTCAATTTGCAAATAGTTCTGTATTTAGTATTATTCAAAATTTGTATAAGGACAATTTAAATAAAGTTTTTTCTGAAGTGTTACGATTAACGAAATTCATTGTGACTATCCCAGCAAGCAGCGCATCGGCAGAGCGTTCATTTTCGTGTTTAAAACGTATCCACACATATTTGAGAAACACACAAAATCAACAACGACTCACAGAGCTTTCCATGATTTCTATAGAAAACGCATTAATGTTAGAATTAAAACGCAATCCAACTTTCTATGACGATATCCTAAAATCATATTTAAAAAAGGATAGGCGCATAGATTTAATCTATAAACGAATGACTAGTTTGTTTTTTTTTACTAATCCGTAGTTTTATTATTAAGTTTATTTATATATTTTGCGAATCACATGAAAATCGGCCCTTTTAAAGGCCACATCGGATATCTTGCAAGGGACGTGGAAATATTAATCTCCAGTAACCGGAACCTTGAATATGTGAAAATCAGAAAATTGAAGATGACCAGGTGAGTAGTTATAATATTTGATTTGCAACTTGCTCATGCCAGTTTAGTGTGCAATCGAGGTGTAGGCCAAGATCTTTCACCGATTGACAAACAGGTATGGTAGTACCGTTAAAAATGATAGCCGGAAGAGTGCCAATGTCTACTCTGCTCATCAATCGGTGACTTCCAACTACAATGGCTTGACATTTTGTGGGGTTTACGGTTAAACCAAACCTATTAGACCACGCATTGATTATTTCCAGGTCTCTGTTGACCATGTCTATGGCTATCGGAATATCCTCAACCTTGCTCTGCGAATAGAATTGAAGGTCATCAGCATACAGATGATACGCACAATGAAGTTCTATTGTTAGGAGGTTAATATACACAGAAAATAATAAAGGGGAAAGAATACCGCCTTGAGGGACACCAGAGTCGAGATCACACCAGCTCGCAGAAGATTCATCGACGCGAACAGACTGCTGGCGTCCCTGAATAAAACATGAGAACCATTCCAGTGCTTCAGGCGAGACCACAAGATAGGAAAGGATTGATAAGAGGATATCGTGATTGACGGTATTGAAGGCATTTGAGAAGTCGATCAGGACCAAAACAGTAACCTATGTGTCCTCCATACCCGCCCTGATATCGCCGGTCACTTTAAGGAGAGCGGAAGTAGTGCTATGACCAGGCCTGAAGCCAGACTGCAATGGGCTCAAAAGATTGTTTTTGTATATGAATTCAGAAAACTGTTTGAGCACACAGGATTCTAGGACCTTGGAGAGGAAGGGGAGAATTGATATTGGTCTGAAATGGTTGGGAAGTGTGGGATTTGCAATTTTAGGTAGGGGAATGACACAAGCTTTGCGGCAAAGTGTGGGGAAAATTCCAGAATCTAAGGAGTAGTTGATGATGTGGGTGATTACTGGTAAGATGAGGTCAAGGATTGTTGTGATCATGCGTCGACTGACTTGATCACAACCAAAAGCGTTAGATTTGATAGAGAGTATTATCTTCTTGATCTCACTCGACGCAACCGGAGAAAATTGGAAGGGATTTATGTTAGGGCTATTAAGACTCGCCAGGTAGTCAACAGTACGATACTTGGTCTGGGGATCCAAACGAACTGAGGAAGAGAAATGACGGTTTATTTCATCCAAACCAACTATCCCCTGCAAACCACTCGATCGCTGCTTACCGATACCTAGAGTTCCGAGAAACTTCCAGATATTGGCGGGGGATGAACAGGAGATGATATCAAAAATGTGTCGGCGTTTGGCGTTACGTATCATCTGATTTTAGTATCATTTTTTTTTAATTTTTTTACTGGCAACCCTGACCAGCAGTTGATCCAAATTTTGTTCTTGTGATTTTAATTGTTTTATTCGCTTAAAATACAATAAAATTAACTAATTTTCGGTCCGTCACTGATTAGATAGGGTTAAAGATTGTTTACTCATAAATAATAGTGAAAATATGCGAATTTGTTAAGACTTAATATTTAATACACACTGTGACAGTTACCGGCAAGTGATTTTTGAATTATCATCATTCCAGAGCTATAATTTTTAAGATATATAACAGTGTTTACGTGTTCATCTCAAACGTAAGTAGTTTCAAATATTTGCTACAGTCAAAAGTTCATGCAAATTGCCTATATGAACGTAAACATAACCTTAATCTAGTTCGGTGACACAACTACTTTGCATAATTGTTTTATCTTTTTTTGTCCACCTTCACTAAATTTTTCGTTTTAATTCCTATCGTATAACTTTCTCAATCCTTGCTTATCACATTTCATTTCGATTTAATCAACTATGATGACACGCAGAGCTTTGGCTGCTCGCCAAAAGGAGCCCAAACTCCAATTGGCGTTGAGCAAGCTAAAGAAGTCTAAGCAGTTGTGTGACCAGCTGATTGCGGAAAGAGATGATAATGAGAAAGAATTACTATGCCTAATTGATAAAAATAAACAGGTTAAGTTAGAACTAGCCCAGATTCATACACAATGCACTGAAGCCATTGCTGCCCGGGATAGGCTTCAGCTCATTGTGGATGGGTTCAGCCGGTGCAGTGCTGAGTATGAGCATGCTCTAGATCGTGTAAAGCATTTAGAACGTCAATTGGATGAGTCAAACACTACACACACACTAGGCGTTGAACCAAAGCCTCTTCGATGAGCTGGTGACCAATGACCCAAATATGGTCACTGTCAATAACCAAATGCCTATTGTGCCCAATGATCTAACCTGTGATGATGTTATGAATAAATCAAGTAGGATTGTTAAATGTAGTAAAAATAAATTTAAAAAATATGACAAAATTAATAGTATAATATAAGAAAAACACAAAAGTTGGTAAATAGGTAAAAAAAAATCATTAAAAAGGTCAAATTGAATAGAGAGAGGCTGTCATTGCTTGGAAAATTAGATATGTATTCAGAAAAATTAAAAAATTGTCATTTGAACCATGACTATGAAACACAACACCTTCATTCTCAGTTAGATAGTATTAATGAGAAGTTAGTATCTATGACCAACAAATATAAGAGTTCCGAAAAGCAAATGAGGGAGTACAATGGCCATCAATGAGCTGGTGAATTCTGATTCCTGTAACTGTAACCATGCTCAATTGTTGATAGAAAATGACTCATTTAGTAGTCGGCACTCCCCGGTCCCCAAAGAGGGCGCTACTGTGCCACAGTTCACTTCGAGTCTGTGTTTATATCAAGATAAAAAATAAAGTAGTGCATACAAACATTAAAAAAGTGAAAAATCTAGTACCCCTGATGTTAAATCACCCAGACAGTAAAAGAGACCTTGTTAAAAACCGTAATTTCAAGTGTATTTAAATAAATTGTAGAAGTGCCGAAATATCGGAATAAGACAGTGCAAAACGCTAAGTAGACAATAAAACAGCTGTGAAAACTGTGTACATATGTATAGTGGAGTCAAGAACAATAATATATCTAGTGAATTGTGCGTCTTGATAGAACTATTAACATTATAACCTCAAAAGTGCATGGTGATGATTCATTATTTCGACGCATCGAGAAACAATAAGTTATTCCGCTAGTAAGAGTTTGTAAAAAGTGCCATCTTACGGACACCAAGAAAACTACATCATAAGTCATTGCTCAACGCTTCGATCAGTTCGATACGTCAATCGAGCAAAGCGTCTTAGTACATAACTTCTCCATTAACAGCTAGGTGGCACTACAAGTACGATATTGTTGTAAAGCTGCCATCCTACGGAAACCCAGAAAATTACTTCATAAATCTGTGCCCATAGCTTTGATCTGTTTGATACGTCAATTGAACAAATCGACTTAGTACATAACCTCACCAACAACCGATAGGTGGCACTACAAGTACCTACAATACGTCTTATAAAATTATTATGGAAAACCTAAGTGAAATTCTCAAACAAATACATCAAGAAATGTCGGAACAAAAACATCAGTTCAAAATTATAGAAGAAAACATTACTAGGAACATAAATACAAATATAAACGAAAAGTTTCAAAATTTAGAAATTAAATACGATAAATTAGAGAGAAAGGTACAAGTTCAAGAGAGTAGAATCGATGCTATTGAGAAAGAAATAAGAAAGAGAAATGTAGTATTTTTTGGCGTACAAGAAAATGAAAATAATCACTAGGATTTGGAAGAAACAGTACTTACACTTATTAACGAAAAGATGAATGTCAAATGTTTTAATCAAGAAATAAGTTCGGTATGGCGGAAAGGCAAAAAGGGAGAAAAGATGAGACCAGTGATAGTTTCATTTAACACATTAAGCAAGAAAATTGAAGTTATAAAAAAGAAGAAGTTACTACAAGACTCTGGGATTTATATGACGGAGGATTTCCCTTTAAAAGTTATACAGAAACGCAAAGAATTGCAAGAAGAGCTGAAACAACTATTAGACCAAGGGAAATCAGCGTACTTAAAATACGATAAAATTATTATCAAAGAAGAAAACAACGGGCATCTGAATCGAAATCATAAACGAACTTTATCCCAATCACCAAATGAAAACAACCAAACCAAGAACAATGCAAACATACACTCCCACAAGAAAAACAAGAGAGACATTAGCACCTATTTTAGATCAAAAAAAGATGCTCCCGCCCCACAAGAAAAACAAACTGTGCTCTTGAATATAAAAGAAATTTCAGAAAGCAACAACTCGAAGGAGACATCTAACATATAGCAACTAGCACGAGCCCCTCTACAGACATCTCCATTACAGCTGGTCACTGCTTAGATTTGCGACCAAAACCCTCCAGAGACACTGATTCACATAATAACATATAACGTGAGGACTCTTTCTTCTCACTCACGACTAATTGAACTAATATATTCTATGGAAAATATACGATTTGACATAATGGGTTTATCAGAGTTGAGAAGAGTTGGAAATTCAATTTGTGAATATGAAGATTTTATATTTCAATTGATAATGGGAAAATATGGCTATGGAGTCAGAAATACTCCAGGAGAAAGAATGGTAGAATTTGCATATGAAAATAAATTGTCAATTATTAACACTTTCTTTGATAAGAAACCCAAAAATAGATGGACTTGGAGGTCTCCCGACGCCAAAACAAAGAACGAATTGGATTACATTCTGTCAAATTTTCCTCAGAACATGCAAAATATTGAGGTTCTAAATGTAGAATACCCATCAGACCATAGACCTGTAAGAACAAAAATTAAGATTAAGCTACCAAGAAAAAAAATAACAAGTTATAATAAAAAAATATATAAAAACTTACTTAAAAACGAAGAACAAATTTGTAAATACCTTGAATCTCTTCAGTGTAATATAGAAAACGTACTAGAAGATCAAACAAATTTCACAACACAGGAATATTACAACAAACTGATAAATATTATTGAAACTAGCCTATCAAGTGCCCAAAATCCGAACATAAAAACTATAAAACAACCAGTAATTACGGATCACACAAGACAGTTAATACGTCGTAGACACGAGATACAAAGCATTAAACCTAAATCTCGAAGTACAAAAAATGAGCTGAAAGCCCTTTACAAACTAATTAGCAAATACATACAGCGAGATTATAATACATACATGTCACGCACAATAGAAAGACACCTAAACACCACTGGAAGCTTGAAACGAGCATTCAAAGAACTAAGAACCCATAAAAATTGGATAGAAGGACTACAGGGGCAAAATAAGATACACAACAACAGAGAAAAAGTTTTAAACATTGCGACTACCTACTATAAAAACTTATATAGCTGCTCTACCCAGACGTTGTTACTACACAGGGACCAACCCCACAGGGACCTCACTGAAGAGGCAGAACCGATAGAACCCATAGACATAACTGAAATAATTGAACAAATAAATAAGATGAAAAGAGTCCGGGCCCAGATAAACTAACTAATGAAGTCATCAAAATAGGTCACTTAATACTAGCAAAACCATTAACAAATCTTTTTAATATGATTATTGAAAATACTTGCACCCCAAAGGAATGGTCCGAATCAAACATAATTCTGTTATGCAAGAAAGGAAATCCAAAAGATATCTCTAATTACCGACCTATAAGCTTGTTACCGACCCTATACTAACTATTCTCTTCAATAATAGAAAAAAGAATTGGTCAAGTACTTGACAGTAAACAACCGATAGAACAGGCAGGTTTCAGGAAAGGTTATAGTACTACGGACCACATACACACACTGGAGCAAGTTATTGAAAAATATCAAGAATTCCAAAGACCGTTATACGTCGCCTTTATCGATTACCAAAAAGCATTCGATACGATTTTGCACTCGGCTATTTGGCAAACTCTACTTACACAAAACGTCAACCAAAAATACATAAACATACTGAAACACCTATATGAGAACAGTTATAGTAGAGTACAATTGGAAGACACAGGACCACCTATAAAAATAGAAAGAGGGGTGAGGCAAGGCGACCCCCTTTCACCTCGCCTTTTCATAGCAGTGCTAGAGACGGTTATAAGCAGTCTAAATTGGAGAAACTTGGGCATTAATATCAAAGGAAAAAACCTCTCCCATCTAAGGTTCGCCGACGATATTGTTATTTTAACTGATAATCATAAAGACCTACAATACATGATATCCACTCTGCATAATGCAAGCAAGGAAGTAGGCTTACAAATAAACTTAAATAAAACAAAAGTAATGACAAACAGCACCCACCACCCTATCAAACTTGAAGATGTCCAACTAGAATATGTGAGTAAATACATATATTTAGGAAAACAAATTTCATTCAGCGCACAAAACAACCATCAAGAAGTAGAAAGGAGAGCTCAAAAAACATGGAGCAAGTTTTGGAGCTTTAAAGAAGTACTGAAAGGCAATTTTCCTATAAAACTGAAAAGAAAAGTAATGAATTCATGCCTTCTGCCCTCTTTGACATATGCTTGTCAAACGTGGAAATTCACTTAGAAGATCAAAAACAAAATAAAAACAAGCCAAAGAAGTATGAAAAGGAGTATGATGAAAATAAACAAACTTCAAAAAATTCCACATACAATAATATGCGAGAAGACAAACGTTATTGATGCCCTGAGTCACGCACTAAAATTAAAATTTAGATGGGCGGGCCACGTAGCCAGACTGACCGACGGCAGGTGGACTATACGAGCCACAGTATGGCCAGGACCAGCCGGCTACAGAAAGAGAGGCAGACCGCAAACACGATGGAAAGATGACGTCACACATATTGCTGGCCAAAACTGGGTTTCAGTAGCTAGCAACAGGGACATTTGGCAATCTCTGGAGGAGGCCTTCACCTGAAAGGGGTTCTTGCTCACAAATTATTCGATTTTGTATTTAATTTATTAAAAAATGTAGATTTTATATGATTTAATTTAATAAAATTCGAATTAGTCTAATAATTTATTTATAGTAATAATAAAATCTAATAATGTAATCTTTTATAATCTAATTTATATACTTAATTTTACTGGCAAGAAATAAAAGGCTTTCTTATTTTTTATTTTATTTTATTTACCTGGCTTGTGGCACCCCCATGTTGTTAGCAAATAATAACAAGACATCCCTTATAACAAAGAACAACTCAGAAGCTAAAAGAAATAAAATTGTAATATTCAGTGATGAGATTGGGAAGGGTATGGGTCAGTTGCTGAGAAATATGTGCACTGATTTATTAATAACTAATTTCTGTATGCCTGGTTTAGATTATTGTCAAATATTAACAAAAATTTCCAGTCTTAAGTTTAGCCAGGATACAATTTTGATAGTTTTAATTGGAAATAGAGGCAATTTAGATAGGCAGAGTTTGCTGCATTATTATAATGAACTATGTGCACTTAATTTGAAACAGAAAATCATATTTACACTGCCATATAGTAAAGGCTTCCCAGAGGAAGAAAATAACCTTAGGTATAAGTTAAATATGCAGTTACACAACATTTCAAATTACAATATGAAGTTTCATATAATTGACACTAACAATTATGTTAGACAATATTTATATATGAGGAAAGATAGGTGTTATCTTTTATTGTTTTGTAAACGACAGTTAGTAATATCGCTATCTTATTTTATTGATATAACAGCCAAAAACTTGGCTATTAAACCAGTTGCACAGGCAACTTATATTGATCCAGCCAAGCGTTTGGCTATGAATTCACATATTTTAAACTAGATGTAGGGACAAAGGAGGTAACCTCTAGCTTAAATTTACCATACAGAATAGTATCAAAGAAATGTACAACCAACACTTTCACTGTAGCGCATCAAAATATTCAAGAAATGTCCAGTAAGCACCTAGAAATTGAATTGTTCATGAGCTGTGACAAAATTGATATTCTTTGTATTACAGAACATTGGCTAAAAAGTCATCATCTCATGTTTAACTTCAGTAATCATATACTAGGTAGTTCGTTCAGTAGGGAGCGTGCTGTACATGGCGGTTCATTAATTTTTATTAGAAAGGATTTAACTTATAGGAACCGTACTGATATTTTAGGCTTCTCTGCTGAGCGGACAATAGAAATAGCATGTGTGGAGTTAGAGCAACTTATTGTATTGAGTGTATACAGGCCTCCATCCTCATCATATATTAGTTTTGAAAAAATTATGAACGAAGTCTTGCAGAACGTATGTAAGTCAAACAAAAGTGTAATTGTGTGTGGTGATTTTAATGTAAATATATTCACAAATATATGCATCCTTGAGTTCAAGATTTAAAAACCTATTTGGGTCATACAATCTTGATAATATTTTTTTGGAACCTACTAGGATGACAGCCACCACAGCCAGGTGCATAGATAATATATTTACTGACATAGTGCCACACACCAAAGGAGTAATAAACAAACTACATTCTGATCACTGTGGACAGATGTGTGCTTTTGCTATGAAAAACAGAATGGTGGTAACACGAGATATTACTGTAGTACCTAAAACTGTAACTCGTATGGAAAATTTCAAAAATAAACTCCTTAGTAAACTACCCCGCTTGGGTTATAGTGATGATCCTAATCAATTTTATAACGCTTTTTTTAACATATATTGTTCAGAATATAAATCAACTTTCACTCCTAAGAAGTTGTCAGTTAAAGGTGCTACAACCTTCAGTGAATGGGCCACCGTAGGTATGTATAAAAGTAGAACAAGGCTTTATGAGCTTTATGAAGAAAGAAATTATAATACTAGTATGGAATTTCGAGAATATGTCAAACAATATTCTAATTTATTTAAAAAAAATTGTTACTCTGCAAAAGTTAACTATTTAAGGTCTAAAATTAGTAATAGTTCAAATAAAATTAGAATGACCTGGGAAATAATTAATACAGAAACTGGTAAAGCAAAGAACAAATGTAATAATTACAGCCTTACAATTGATAATAAAGTAATTAATTCCGATATAAATGTCGCCACAACTTTTGAAAAAATTTTCACAGACATTCCAGTCTTAATAACAGAATCATTGAATTCGTCCCCCACTATTGCAGAATCTTTATTGAAAGAGAATATTAACATTTGTAATACTGAGTTTAGATTTAGTTGTATCACTGATAGAGATATAATAAAAACGTTCAATGCTCTTAGTGTTAATAAAACCGCCGACCTTTAGGGTAATTCTGTACAAATAACTAAATCAATTATTAGCGTAGTTGCATCAGAGTTAGCCTCAATTTTCAATAGGTGCATTGAATGTGGTGTATTTCC